TTCTCCATAGTTATGTTAGGTCACCAGAGGGCCAGAGGGTATAATCACCATTAATCACCATTAATCACCATTAATCACCATTAATCACCATTAATCACTATTAATTATCATTATTAACCACTATTAACCATGATTAACCACTATTCATTCTAAATATCCACATCCTCTCCGGCCGGCCGCCGCTCTGAGCACCTGCTGCGATGCTGCTGCTGCCATCGGCAAAGGCCCAACCGCTGGCTGCGGTGCACATGGGCGGGCCGCCGGACCAAGCCCATGCGGCCTCCGGTGATCATGGGGAGATCGGAAATATGGAGGACATGGATGGGGACAACTGATATCACCATGAAATATATGGGTTGAGATATTCTATAATTATATTGTATATATAATTATATATAAATATTTATATATGTACACATATGGAGGTTTCCTAAAATGGGGGACACCCCAAACATCATCCATTTTAGATTGGGATTTTCCATGAAATAAACCATCCAGCGAGCTTGGGGGTACCCCCATGGTGATAAATGTAGAAACGTTCGGAAAATGATCAACAAAAATGGCGGGTAAACTCCACATCGAACTGTCATACGGGTATAGTTTGATAAATCTGTCAAACCGTCCCTGGGACATAATGAATGGGATTTTTCTTGGGATTTCATCATGGCAATATCATGGGGATATAATGATGGGATATAGTAGTGATACACAATCAATCAAACAGGAATGCGGTAACTACATTTAAATATACGGATTTCAAAAAAATACGAACAGGTATTTTAGACTACCTCCGGGAAGGTTTTCCTTGGCCCGCCCGGAATCCAATTCATTTAAAAATAAGGTAACCAGATTTAAATATACTACCTCCTGGGCCTCGCGGTCTGGCCCGTCCTCCACATATTTAAATGTCGTTACCGTAAAATTAATGGGGGTATAGTAGGATATAGTCATCCCAACCCCTGGTACCCTCTGGTAATTTAACATAGCTATTGAAAATGGCCATTTATAGTGGATTTTCCCATTGAAAATGATGATTTTCGATAGCTATGTTAGTTTACCAGAGGGTAATCAATCAGATTTATCACGAGAGTGTTTCCAAAAGGGACTTCCAAGACATCTAAAAAGCAGGTTTCATGGTAGTTTAACAGGGATAATCATGGGAAATTTCCTCTGGTAATTTCTCATAGCTATGGAAAATTAACCATTTATATTTGATCCACCTATTGAACATGGTGATGTTCCATACATCATTATGTTATGCCAGGTGATACCAGGGATGTTGATGGATTTACCTCCGGTCAAATTTGGCTGTGGAATTCCCGAAATAAATGGACGTTTATAGCTGGGAAAATCTCAAATATGGAGGACTTCCCAGCACACCATGGAGCTGATTGCCAGAGGGTGGATTAAAATAGGCAATATTAATATCGTGTTTCGTTGGGTTGATACTGATACGGATTTTACAGCTTCTTTTTGAGATTGCTATTTTATGATTTTCAAGGATATCTTAAGGTCTTCTTTGGTTTTCGAGGGTAGGGATGTACTGTACTCAATGGCAGCTGCTGAAATCACCCAGGTTCAGTGTGCTTTGAAGAGACCAAATGGGCATGGCTCGTCATTGGGGTGTGCCCGGATATGAAAAAAAAACGTATTACCCTCTGGTAAACTAGCATAGCTATTGAAAATGGCAATTTATAGTGAGTTTTCCCATTAAAAATGATGATTTTCCATAGTTAGTCATGTTAGATTACCAGAGGGAAATCATGATTGATAATGATGTGTCTACACTCAAGTTAGTTATGTTAGTTTACCAGAGGGTATATTAAACAGTCTTAAACCATCCATTTTTGAAGGGACTGATACCTTTGAGCAGCCATACATTGTTGAATGGGTATTACTATGGCTCCAAACTATTGGCCCGCAAGGCTACAGCAATGATGCGGGAGCCATTCCCAGTGTTGATGCAGAAATCCGCATCAAATATCACTATGCTTATCTCCCCATGATCACCATTATATGGCTTGATCTTCTATTCTATAGTATTCTATAGTTATATGGATGTGGGTCAAAACCAATAGTACCCCTGTAGTTCACATCAAAATAGCTGGGATTTATGGATGTTCATCCCACTAAAAATGGTATTAATAGGTATTGATCCATACCCATATCTATAGATATCATACAACCCATCAATGAATCCCAGTCCGGCCTGCATAGGCTCCGACCTCAAGAAGAGTGGCACCAGATGCATCAAGCTGATGCTTCCCTTGGCGGTCGCGTTTCCGATGCGTCTTCGGTTGTGAAACGCCGATGAACCATATTCTAAAATGATGAGTTGTGAGTTTAAGTGGGATTCCTATATTGGGAAATCCCTCTCAAAATAATGACTGGTTTACTTACTTTATGGGATTTCCAATGATTTCATATGGTTTGATGAACCTCTACAATATATAATTGAGCTGTGAAATAATGGATCGCATTCTTAATCTAGGGTTCCTCCTACTGAATTTTAGTTTAGCGCTTAGGATAGTCCCCCAATTGATGTAAAGGGTGAAAGTTATAGTGACCCTAACAACATAAACCATCCATCATTTTATATAGTATTGTTTAAATTAACTGTTAACTACATCATTTTGTTCCGAAGGCAAAATCCTGATTCAACACCGCCCAAATCTCTCTTTACTGATCCCCGCGATAGAGTTTTGTGACCCCCAAATCAACTATAACAAACTCGGCAGTAAAATCGCAAGGTCACCAGCGTGCGAAAATTTCAGAAAGGGGGATGGGATGAACTATCACCAGACCTTGGGGATCTGGCAGATACCCAGCCCGGTAAACATTAACAAAAAACGATGGAAAGATCCACCATTTATAGCTGGGTAAATCAACTATTTCTATGGCCTTTTTAAATAGCAAACTGTATGTTTACCAAAGGGTATCTGGCTGAATCATCACCAAGCTGTGTCTGGGAATGGGAATGATGATTCCTATCGTGAAGCCGTGGATGTTGGTTTGTGACGTCGTTCTACGCCAGAATGATATGGCCCATACGGCTGACAACTGAAAACAAACTGAAACCAGTGGGGAAAGTCAGGATCCATAGATTGTGGGATATATTGGGTACATCTAATGCTACATGGTACACCACATATGAAAACAATATGCACCCATTGATATACACATATCCCCATTGATCATAGTCATTATTATTCAATTGTTTGTATATTGGTTAATATATACCAACTATATATATATAAATATAACTACCCTACATTTAAATCTCCTAGATCATTTGAGTATCATCCCTGGGATGAAAACGAATCGACGTCACATCGAGCCCTGCCGTGCAAAAAAACTCAGGTTTTCACGCTTGATAAGATCGTTGGGCAGGAAAAACGGCAGATTGTTGACTTGCTGACTGTGTGACATACCAAACTTTGAATTTGAGATCATTAGTAAATTTGTCTTTCCGTGAAATTGGATCCATTTTCAGATTTCCGTCTTCGCTGAAGACTTCACATCTTCCCAAAGATGGATTCCAAGTAATTCAAGACTTGACTAGACCTTCACTTTTCCTGCCTTTTTCCCCTCAATGAAACATTGACTGCAAATGAGCAACTGCAACGAAGGACGCACGTCCCAGCATGTTTTCTACTCAGGAAGCAAGGAATGACCTGAGGATGCGATCCTCGAGCCAACAAAAACTGCAGAAGATAATCCCAGAAATGAGCCCATTGTGTCTACGAATGTGGGGAACCCCATTTGGGGATGGTAAACGTACCACCCGTTACCCATAAGAATGGTGATGACTTGGGGATGGTTTATGGCATTGGGTTTACCACATTCATCCAATCCCCGCAATAAACAGACCCAAAAGCCTGGGTCCCAGCTGTGGTTTCTGGTGGACATGCGAACATCCGTATCGCCAGGGGCACAGAACTGAGGACCGAGAAATTGCCATGGATAATCATCCGATCAAGTGACTTGATAAACGTACATCAATATACAAGAACACACATATGTATATGTATATATATATAATAGCAATCTACTGTATTATAGACATACGGTGACATACGTACTGTAACCATAATATACTATAATATATATATAATTATATATATATACATATATTATGGGTTTGAAACTAGGATGCCTCTAAATCTCATGATCATCACGTTGCCCGAGGGTTCCACATACGACCTTTTGTCATCAGGTACTAAAGGACTTGACGGACAACAACCGTATCAAAACGACTCTTATTAATATGCAAATTTGCAAGCCTAAACCCATGGGGGTGATGATGATGATGATGATGATGATGATGATTTGGGTCTTATCACTTTGCACAAGTGCCCTTCAAATGATTACTGGCATAAACACTCAAATAATGCAAACTATTCTGCACATGATTGCAAAGTGGGTAGTATCCCCAACTTATATCCATTTATACATGTCTAAGAAACTATTCCGGAAACCAACCTCTACATCGTTGTATATAATGGCACATAGCCTACATGACTCAGATTGCTGGCTGAACTTGGGCAGTAACATGATGTGAATTTAGGTTTATATGTATACCGTATACCCTAACAGATGATGAAGTATCTACCTCTTTGCACATTGTGCGAACCTAATTTTCACACTAGCATAATCACCCTGAATTGAGGCCAGTGGCTAGTTCCTCCTCCAACCCCTCTGAAAAATATGAGTTCGTCAGTTGGGGTTACTATTCCTAATATATGGAAAGTCAACAAAATCCATGGTTCCAAACCACCAACCACATACATTGTTATTCCAATTAATAACCATTACTAACCATTATTAACCATAGATTAACCATTATCAGCAATTATTAGCCATTATGAACCATAGATTAACCATAGATTAACCATAGATTAACCATAGATTAACCATAGATGGGGATCCACCATTTGAAGAACACCCCGCTTGAAGGTCCACCAGGTCCACCAGGTCGACCGTCGACTTGGCTCTCGCACGGTGCCGAGCGACCTGGAAGGCCGAGATGGACGACCGTCGTTTTTTGGGGACCCCAAAATGGCCAGTTTCATCTGGGTGATGGGTCAACAAAAATAGGGAACCTAGGTACCCCAAAATAGGTGGTTAATGATGTTCATTCATGTAAACTATCCCCAAAACTATGGTAATACATGGTAATACATGGTAATACTATATGCTTTGACCCATTCCCGAGCATATTTTAGCATCATCGGAAACGCTCCAATATGACCAATTCATACCAATTCCGCAGACCTGGCAACATATGTTTGGGCCATTGCGCCGTGGTAATGAGGCTGTTGAAGGGTGGATACCCTACATTAAACGTTTAAAGACATGCGGAAAAGCCATGGCATACCGAGACCCGTCCACTGGGATACCCCGCCTTTTCCGCCTCAGTGAACCGGTGCTAATAAGTCCCCGCGGGTGAAATTCATTGGTCGCTACATTCGGAAACAAACACCACAGTTTTTTTTAGACCAAAACATACCAAAACAAAGAGTTTTTGGAGTGGTGAGGGGTAAGATTCTCATTGCTTTTTCACCAATTTCAGTTGTAGAAATCTCCCAAACATCCTGCCACGAACGCTCCCATGCGCCAAGTTGCCACCATCCTTTCCGCCCCCTGAAACGGAGAAAACCAACAAGGGGGAACCCCGCAGCACCGTTGCCCCTCCAGGAACTCTTGTAAAATGGAAAGTGGTCATGAAATCAAACAGTTGGGATTTAACCAGCATATACCATCTACCAATTTAACATGCATATTATATGCGCATATATATATAATTACATATATTTATAGATAACATGTATATATATATATTAATATATATATATATATATATTTAAATATATATATATATAATTATATATATATATTGTAAATCACTGCGTTCGAAAAGGTAAATCATCTACAATCAATGGGCCATTCGGGAGGAATTTCTTTCAACCCATCTGGGCAGGTCAACTCTAAATTCATAGCAACGGTCTGCGTTGACAAAGAACCATGGTATCCACAGCATCTTTCCCATTCCGAAGCCGATTTCCACGGACCATCCTTGATAAACATGGCCTAGCCGCTTGGGGCTTGGATTTTTCTTACGCATTTCCAGCATTTCTCATTACGCATTCATATGGGTCATTTCTGGCTATAATCATGGTATAACCCCATATGTTGGGATGTCACAAAGCCTTTTTCACTATGGCTATCCAACAAAAAACTGGAACGAATCTCATTCATACTCTGACCAATTCATCTAGTTTTTTTCTGAAACAATACGCTTACTGCTTACTGGAAAAGTTACGCATGATATCCCGCAAATATAACTTGCAACCCAGCTGATGCATATCCAACGTTGTACCCAAGAACAGGAAAACAACATCTTTTCTAGTGGTTTTATCAGCCACTATTGCTTTTCATTTCCCCAGGATTCTTGGTGATCGTCGGCAGTCTCGTTAAAAAATCAAAATCATCATTTTTTTTATCATTATCATGTATATAAAATTATCATGCTATAATATCATATAAACATATCATGATATTTTACCTTTGACCGTCCCAATTTGTGTTTTATCATTTTTTGGCCAGCTACATTTGGCTACCATCATCGAGTCATCGTCAACCGAGGATGAAGAAACCCTGGGCTCTTTAAGCAAGCGAGGTGTATTCCATGATGATTCGAATCCACAGTGGAATCATTGAGAATACACAAGTAGTTAATCATAGAATACACATACTTAATCATAGAATATCATAGAATATCATAGAATATCATAGAATTTCACAGATATACTAACAATTGACACCATGTCTTCCATATGAGATTGATACTAATTTTCCCTTCAAGATACGTCGTCCACATCGCTGTTGACTCAGCCCGCTTCCCCGAAGCAAAACCGACGCCTTTCCCCATGTCGGGCACAGACAAATTGATGGCCATCGCCTCAACACCAGCATGGTCACCCAGGTCTTGTCGAATGGCTCGCTCAACATGTCCAGTGAAAACCAAAAAAATCTGGAGCTCAAAGTACCCCCCAAAAAGATAGAATCGTGATGTTATCACTTGTACATATATATATAACTTATATAACATTATAAAACTTGATTTGTTGGGATTTGACCAACTTCTATATATCTTTTTGGGAGGTGCTAGAAAACAGTCATTTAAGTGGTTCCCAGTGGGTAACTTTGAATGATGTCGTCGCCGTCTCAAAATGTGGCTGTTTTGAATTCAAACCCTCTTTGAGATTCCTTTGGAGCTTTTCTGATGCTTTTCGCCTTCTTAGGGTGAATCAAACACTTTCCAACATTTTCCGACATGTTTCAACCAGAAAAAAACGACACTTCAACTTAAATTGGCTTCTTATGTGGGATATCCTCTGGTAAACGTTTACATAACTATGGAAAATCACAATTTTTAATGGGTAAATCAAAATCCACTATAAATGGCCATTTTCAATAGCCATGTTAAATTACCAGTGAGTATGTGGTAAATCCATGTAAATCCAAGGCCAACCTCTAGAAACCTCGGATGATTGACGCCAGGACGCCAAGTAGTGCATCTGCCATTGGGCCTACGACAAAAACCGGGTGAAGAAATGTTATATAAGCGGGATATCATCATTAAATAGTATTTGGGTTATATAAGTGTTATATAAGTGTTATTAAATATGGGATATTATTAAATGTCGGACTGGGATACCATGGGATATAAAGTGGGATATCATCATTCAATGTGGCCTTTTGACTGGGATGTAGTGGGATAGTATAGTGGGATATTGATGGATATTATGATATAATTTTGAATCGTGGGGTTGTATAATCTATAATCTACTGTATGAACATCAATACTATGGACCCAGTTCATATATTGTACTGGAAAAAACACAATATAGAATCCTGGGGGTTAACATCTATTTGAAGTGGTGAAGAGTTGTGGTTTAGTACAACCTGACGAACACGTGTAATCCACTTAATCAAGTGATATAAAAAAATGGTGGTTTCCTAAGTCATAGGCCTACCCCTAGTTATCATGCCATTTTTACTAGAAAAGTTACCATGACATCCAGCCCATCCATCCAGCTCGCTTGGGGTCCCATTGAAAGCTCCATTTCTTGGATGCGCTAATCACCATGGGATTCCATGGCACCTGAGAAGATCATATCATCCCATGGGATTCAATGAGAACTACCCTCTGGTTATGACTAACAGTTTGCCATGGTTAAGCCATGGCCCATAGAAATAGATGGTTTACCCGGTTTACCCATTAAAAATGGTGGATCTTTCCATGGCGAACTGTTAGTCATAACCAGATGGTAATAATGGTGTCAATTGATATTTTATGATATTGATATATCATAGATACACTAACAATACCCCAGATTCATGTGAATAATGGGATGAAACACTACTTGTGATATCTTGTGATTGGTATGTCATCAAAGTCCGTGGAATAGTTGGCGTCATCAGGCCATTAGGCACCTCGTTGTTTTTGCTCATTCACTGCAATCATCCAGGGCACAGCTATCCCAGCGAAACATCAATCAAGTGCATGTGCAAGCCAGCACGAAATTATTGCCCTACTCCTCCACCTGCACCCCACTCCATCAAACCAACCTCCTGTATATTCAATCATTTAGTATTTCTATATTAAAAAGAAGCTCGGCTGCAAGAGAGTATTTTGAGCATGGCGGTCACAGTGCGGTCACAATAATTCATCCAGATCAATTAGATCCGATCCCCACTAATCTCCAGTTATATCTATCATGCCCCCAATATAGTCCCATATGATAGATCTGCTATATTCTCATAATATTCCAGATCTATTGTCTTCCATAATTATATATAATTACACATATCTAAATATCTATATTCAATATATTGATATATTGATATATATATATATATACAATATCTATCATATCCCATTATATTGTACGGTTATTAAATACCCCCTATTATTCCCATCGATTTTCGCCATGAAATATTAAAACCAAAAATCATATTTTTAGGTTTCCGAAGTCATGGGGGTACCCCTGAACCATCCAGATATTTGGGTACCCGGCCTGGTAAACGTTCACAGTTTGCTATGGGAAATCACCATCTTTAATAGGAAAAAAATGATAAATGTACCATTTTTCATAGCTATGTCACAAATTACCCGGCCTGGTAAACCTTTACATAGCGAACTGGAAAGATCCACTATGTTTATAATGGCTAAATCCACTATTTCTATGGGCCATTTTCAATAGCTATGTTAACATACTAGAGGGTATCCCATTGTTAATTCTCCCATTGTTAATTATCCCATTGTTAAATACTGTTAGTTTCAATATGTCTTGTTAATTATCCCATTGTTAAATACTGTTAGTTTCAATATCCCATTGTTATCCCATTGTTAAATACTGTTAGTTTCAATATCTGTTAATTATCCCATTAATAATCCCATTAACTGTTAGTTTACCAGAGGCTATCTTCCATCGATCCCTTCGCGACCGCCTGCGCTTTGGCTTGCGCCACCGGGTCCACCGCTGGCAAGGCCTCCTTGCGGTGGAGTTGGTGAAGGGGAATTCACCAAGGGTGGTGACATCATGGGGCAGGGGATCATTTAGGTTAAACATCATGAGAATTCACCATGACTGGTTGGTGGTTGAGCCCTACCCCTCTGAAAAATGATGGACGAATCGTCAGTTGGGATGATGAAATTCCCAATATGATGGGAAAGTAAAAGTCATGTTCCAAACTACCAACCAGATGAAATCATTCCTGAAATATCGTGGGCTCGTGGGATGTTCAGCAAACATGATGAAATATATGAAATGGAAGATATCAGCTGATTTTCATGTATAGAAGCATGGAATAGATGAATAGTTAACAGCGGTTTAGCCACCCACAACAGGGGATATAATATATCGGGAATATAACCAACAAGTGAATACAATAGCCATTGTCAAAATTCGTTGTCTTTGCTAAACTCCCGGAAAAGGGTCTCGCTTTTGGGGAGGCCCTATCCCTAACCATGGTTTTGGACTTATGAAGATTGAAGAGGAGCTGCTAGAATCCTCAGCACCAGCAGCCAGACGATCCTTCCGTTTCTGCTCGAGGAGTTGCGCTTTATGATCACTTAGCTCTTACGCAGAGGCGCGCGATTAACAATAGAGAGAAAAACTCTAAACAAACAGGCATACACCAGCAAAAACGCCCACTGTTTCGTGTTTGCAGATTCCCGCCATACCCTCCTTACAATTCTGGTATATTGGCCGTTATTGGTCTGTGTATGTCTATGTTTGATTTTTGGTGCCATTCTGCGTAACGATGTGACACTAACCATGTGATGGTTCATTTTCACCCTGATATGTTGGTTTCAAAATGTGGGCGCAGAGAAGTTTCCCGCCTCTGGCGCTTTAGGGGTTGGCGCTTGCTCACCTTGGGGGGGCAAAGGTCGTGATTCGAATCTGGGGAAAACGATGGTCATTCCAAAACCATCAAACTTCCAGTAGTGCTCAAAAAAACCTACGGAAAGAAACCATCGGATGACCGTCCTTATATCCTCGCGAACAGAGGGATTAGCAAAGCTGGTACTTGGAGGCTGCCCGCGTCACAAGAATGGTGTGTATGTGTAAATGTGTTAAACGGAAGGATTAGAATGCCATAATTATGACTTTTTTGTAGCTTCAAAACAATGAACTACCAGTACCATATATATATATATATGGGTAAATTACAATAATTCACCAACCTGAATTAAGGCCAGCTATGGGGATGATTCCCCTAACATTCACCATGATTCCAGGGTTCGGGAGAACAGGGTTCGTTACCCAGCTATATCGAATTACGGGAGAATCATCCCTGTGTTTGCCGGTGCTGACCCATTCCGACTGCTTATCACAATATTCCCCATTGAATTGGATGTCGATAGGTTAGGTCAGGCTGTCTCCCCGTTTTTTGAGACCCCATATATGTATGTATACATATATATATATGATATGATATATATATATGATATATATATATATGATATATATATATGATATATATATATATGATATATATATATATGATATATATATATATCATATATATATATATATGATATATATATATATACATAAATGATATATATATATGATATATATATGATATATATATGATATAATATATATATATACTAATTAATAGTATAATAAAAAATATATATATATAACATGATATATCCTATAATATTTATCTTTATTATAAAATAATGTAAAATGTTGCTTATGTTCTCATCATGTCCCTATGAAAAATCCCCGTTTCGACCTAAATCAACATTTGGCGCTACGGACTGGGCTCCCCGACTGGGCTCTTCTACCTCTGGCGCTTTCTCCTGCACGGCTGGAAAACTCATATCATTTTTTTCCAGTCGGCCAGGTTTGATGACACTCGAGGATTCTAACTAACATGCTTATCGCAAATCTGTGGTTTGTGTGTTAATCTTTTCCATTCATTCCTCACATGTAGAATTCATAGTTTCGCAGTCAAAACTGTTGAAATCGAACTTGCAGTTAACCATAAACTATATGAGGCAACGGCAATTGCAATTTCAATGATCAACTGGGAAGTATTATAGAGTAATTCCAGCTTTCCTGGGCATCATACGTATCTATATGTGACATGTAATTTTACCGGAGTGTTTCTGGTGGTTTGGAATGTTGGGAGCCCATTGGAAAGGATCACCAAGTAGATCAGTTCATTTTGAGCTGAAAGGGAGAACATATCTGATCTGCAGCCAAAAAACACATAAACCCATAAAATAAATGGGTGGCACACTCCACAATTATGGATAATCAATAACCCGATCATAGATGGATTCTAGTTATTTCTAGCATCCATTTCACTAGAAATAGATGATAACAACTTAAACACCTATCTCTTAAATGGTAGGTTTCTTTTTGGATTTGCCACAAAAAGGGCAATTTTCAATGATCTGCAACCTATTCAATGACCCATCTTTGCCACAAACGCACAATCTTCATCCATAGATTTCATCTCATTCACTGGCTTGGAAAAACATACGTATTCCATCGTTAGCTAAGTTCCGGATTTAAGAACTGATCAGTATGCTTGGATACATATATTCCCTCAATATAATCTACTATAAGTATTACTATTATTACTACTATTAGTGTTACTATTATTACTATTATTGTTGTTGTTCTTGTATTCCCCACGATTGATGGTTTTCACCAGTCCATTGAACCCCCATTTGGGTTGCCAACAAGTGACCCTATTCTTGTTATTTAACATAGCCATGGTATAGATGGCACATAGAAATAGATGCTTTACAAAGGGGTTTACCTATTAAAAATGGGTGGATCTTTCCATGGCTATGTTTAATAGCCAGATGGTAAATACCACGTGATTTTTTGGAGAAATCCCCATGAGAAATCCCATGGAAAGATCTCTCGCGTGCCTCAGCCGGCTTGGGCAAGGCTTCCTGCACTTCGATTTCGACACCTTTGATGCTATGACCTGGGCGGATTTTTTCGGCCAGATTTCCTGTTGAACATCTAGATTTGATAAGAAATGGTGTAAACATCTGGCTGAAAAACACATGCTTTTCAATATGTTTGCATAACTGTAAATATGTTTAAATATGGATGCAACACATCGTGTTTCAAATCATGGTTTTGGTAGGCAAGCCGTGATCAACCACGGGGTTTTTACAGTGGACGCCGCCATGTTGGGCTGATCTTGGATACCCTTTGACATATGGACAATTGGTGATTCAAAGGGTACGAAATATGGATAAATACGGTGGTTCTCCATTAATAATTTGGCGTTTTCCATAGCGATGTGAAATTACCTTCAGGGAAATCTACAAACAAGGTACATCAAGGTATTTAACTTAAGTTACTGGCTAACCTATTTCTCCTTCTTATGCCAAAATACAGTCAACCATGAACTTTCCAAAGCAGGGTAAAACTGATTTTCACCAACCCCTTCTGCTATAGAGATGCCAGCTATCCTGTCACTTGGATCCGGGCTATCAGCACCTGCACACTGTGTGGGCGAAAAGCTGCTTTGAGGGTTGAGATCAAAACATCTTCCAAGTTTGAAGTAAGCAAGATGAATTTCACAACAAGTTGTTCAATGTCATTTTTCAAGGCTAATGAAACTCTGACATGGTTGAAATGGTCACCGCGAGAACGGCGAACCCCCTTTGTGCAACACCTTTGGTTCGATGGTTTTTTTCGTGGCTAGATCCACCATATGGGGATGGGTCAAAACCTTGTACCCCTGTAGTGAACATCAAAATAGCTGGGATTTATGGATGTTCATCCCATTAAAAATGGTATTTTCATAGGTATTGATCCATGCCCATATGGCGATGGGTCAAAACCTGCTCCATCCGTCGCCAGAGCTTCAGCCAGAGGTTCGCCCAGGGCTCGGAGACTTGCGTGGACACAGACGCAAGTCATCAGGACAACAGCATACACATTGTCTGAACACACCCAGCCCTAGATATACATATTTCCAAATAATATATATGTATATATATACGTATATATATATATCACATATTCATATCTAGATCCAGCTCTGATATCGTCGATTCTCCATTTGGTATCCACCAATCAAACTTAGTATCATTGACCAGTATCCTCCGATATCTGGGGGGTCTCATGCTTGATGTTACAATCAAACAGTTCGGGGGTATCCTCTACCTCTGGACTATCCCCTGTCATATCTTGTTGCTTTCTTGATCCCAATAAAAGATTATATTTAATCATATCGATTATACCCCCATGATATCCCCATTATTACCCTTATCATCCCAATTATATAATCCCAACAAAATGATGGTTTGATGCCATGATACAGTAATCATTACCATTATTGATCATTATTGATGGTGAAATCTCCCATTAAATCCCATTAAACAGCATTGAGGTCCAATTAAAATCCCATTAGACAGCACTGACATCCCATTAAAATCCCATATCCCATGAATATCCCCATCATCTTCTCCATTCTCCGCATGACATTTCGGGCTTCAATTCACGCGCCTGCCACGGTTTCGATCAAGTCGTCCACACTACCGCCCTGGGCGCAGAAGATCACGAGAAATTTATGGCGATATCATGGGTATTTATCCTCCTGTAAACTCTGTAAACATACAAAAAGCTATAGTTAAATGAAGATTGACTTTCTTTCCAGGGTCATTTCAGGTTAGCCTTGAGTGTAGACAAATCATTAGCAATCATGGTTATCCTCTGGTAATCTAACATGACTATGGAAAATCACCATTTTTCATGGGTAAATCAACTATTTCGACTGGGCAATTTTCAATAGCAAACTGGTAAATTACCAGAGGGTAACTATCAATAAGGGTTGGTCTGAACCTGGGGTATACCGCCAAATAACGACTAATATGGAGGCTTTGATTCAATAAATCACCATATATAAATATATATACATGGTCTTATCACTAAGACGACTAATCATTATATACAATACCATATTATACTTATATAATGAAACATAACCATCAACACATTTTCTGTTACGACTATTATAGTTATTACTATTAGTTTAAGCATTGTGAGCGATAATACTATAACTCCGTGAATTACCGATATAAATTCAATTATTGCTATGAAAATGGGGCTGATATTGCCATTATTATTTACATGATATGTCATAATATGTCATAATATTCACAATATGGAGGATTATTATCTCCATATATTACTCACAAGTGGGTTGTCCAATACCAAATATATGTATCACCGAATTCGTATATAATGTAAATGTTTCTCACTAGATTATTACATACTGTAAATATTTTCCGGACAAAAGAAAGCTTCCGAATAGTGATTGTATTCGTGGTTGTTTATACCATCTATTGTAATAATGACATAAGTGACACATAGTAAAACAATATACACAAATGGTAACATAACATGATTTCTGGTGGTTATATCATGTTATATCCACTAACAATTACTATGTGTGGTATTACTATTATAGTTATTATATATCACTTAAAACAAAAAAGCGCTACTATAACATACTGCAAGTACTGAAAATCACTAATCATTACTATTCATTATTACATTAAATCAAATAACAATTATCACGATAAAACTGTTACCAATGATCACAATTATCACCATCACCATCATCATCATAATCATCAACATCATCTTTTTTAATGTGGGTAATCCAAAACAAAAACCTACAATTTAGGGATGACGGTTGCCACTCATTTGTAGTTAGAACTGGGCTTGTTGATACCAGTACTTGGGTTTACCACATTGCCTACTCACTAATGTTAAGATATCAATGTTGAATTCATTACCATTATCATCCATGATCATTCATCTACTTCTTAGATACTTTTCTTAATCATCTTACATAACTCAAAATGATAAGATTGGGGGGGTTATGTCATCCCCCCGCACCACCACCCGGTCACCACGTCACCACGTCACCACGTCACCACGTCACCTTTTAACGTCACAAGGTCACGGCCTCCCGTGGCACGAGGCTCACAAAGGCCATGCCCCGCGGGCGCTGGGTCTTCTTGTCACGGACTAAGGTGGCCTGTTGGAGGAAGTCCAAAGAAAATTTCACCCGGAAAAACATGGGGAAAACCCCGTGAGTTTCAGCGGAATGTTCGCCAAAAACCATGGACATATACATATACATATTATATATATATACATATTATATATATATGGAATCCATGTTTAAAAAGAACATCCTGAAAATCCACAGTTTTTTTTGAGCAAAGGTGATCTAACTGATCTAACCAGCAAAAGCAGCAGATTCTGAGTCTCACCCGGATATATTGGAAGTTGAGCAGCAGCATATCTGCTGTAACACATAAAAAAAGAGGCGCCAGGAATGCTAGCATTGATTTTCTCACCACACGTCTCAGCTGTGTGAGATTGATGTGGAATTGCTGGTGCTAGGGATCTTTTTGGTGTGGCGGTTCATACACAGCCTGCAATAACCAGTCAATTTCCTGCCAACCTCTTCAAGTACCAAAACCGCCACTCGATCAAAGATTTGGTAAAAACCGGTTGGAATTTCTGATTGAGTGATGACATATTAAGAGATGACATGTGTTATTGAGGTTCTGCCCGTTTCTTCAAAGAGGCGCATTTGGTGAAATAGTCACTTGGAACCCTCTGACGACACCCATGAAAGCTGGCGCAAATGGGCTGTTGAGTTTTCAACTGGCAACCGCCAGATCATGGCCGACGTCAGATATCTTGCAAAACAAAGACTGGTTAGAACATGTTCCTATGTGAATTCCCATTCAAAGCAAAAGATTGAAGGATGAAACTACAAAACTATCTGGGTATCCATTCAGTTGGTTGACCCAGATATGTGCAGATCTGGGAGATTTTAGACCTCCAGATATGGTGGATTTCACCAGGGAAACATGATTTTGTAGCAAGCAACAACTTATACATTTCGCCGCAGCCACAAACAATAGGCTTTGAAACAACAAACATGGATATGTCGAAACAAAGAAGGCATATGTGTTTGTTCACAAAAAGAAACAGCGGATTTGACAAATCTGTTACCTTCTTTTAATTTAACATAGCTATTGAGAATGGTCCATAGAAATAGTTGATTTACCTATCAATCATGGTGATTTTTCATATAAATCACAATTTTCCCATGGTTTTCCCATGGTTTTCCCATGGTTTCCCATGGTTTTCCTATTAAAAAAGGTGATTGGGTACCAGGCCGGGCAATCCAAAACATCCAATGTGGAGGGGCCAGCTGGAGCCAGGAGCACACGGCCCGTCCAAGTCTGTACCGGGCATCCGTGGTGAGGCCCCCCAATGGTAGCTAAGTTGACATGTAACTTGGCGAACGCGGCTGACGATGGTGGAAACGGGTGATATAACCATAGTATTAGTATTCATGGGGTTAAACAACAAACATACCTGGGGGGTTCAAATCTCATGAAAAATCCCATGAAATGTTGCTGAAGTCCCATAACTGGGAGGCCTCACCTTGAACACCCTCTGGTAAACATGAAAAAACGATGGAAAATCACCATGTTTAATAGGAAAACCATGGGAAAACCATGGGAAAATGGTGATTTATATGAAAAATCACCATGTTTCATGGGAAAACTCACTATTTCGATGGCCATGTTCAATAGCTTTTTGTATGTTCACCAGAGGGTATCAAATCACGAACAACCCACCCTTTTTAGACAGGTGATGCCTCAACGACCTCTCCGAATTTCCCGAAGTAGTCCTGGACAAAATCGTGTGCTGCCGGCTGTCGATACACAATATCTTCAAAAGGGACCTTGGGGGTTTGGTTGGGGTTTTGTCAATGGCTATAACTATGGTGATATCATGATATCCATCATTTGTTGGGATACAAAACCTTTAACATCCTTCAACTATGGTTGTATGAATATATCCACTTACTTACATAGCTGGAACTACACCCCAAGAACTTCTCCAAACATGGAGTATCCTAAAAAAAATATGTCACTTCACGTTCTTCATTAAACTTGAGGTTCTCCCATGACATGTCAAAACCCACAGGGGTTTGGGCACTGGGCGAGGTGGGGATTTTACCATTTGCTGGGGAAGCTTTGATCTCCACGAATGTATTCCGACGCTTCTAACGTTTGTACAATGAAGCCTCTTATTCTGGTACTCTAATATGCCTGGCGGAAAAAACAAAACATCTTCCAATGGAAATCAACATCAATGGGTGAGTTTCCAAACTTCTACATTTTTCCGGGAAAATCATCCATATATGGACATATAATGCAGTCATGTAGAAATATGTAGTCTTGTTTCACTGGCAGATTCGATTACGAGACAAGAAAATGTAGGATGTTCAATGATGTTCAATTGGCTCAGAGATCACCTGGACTCCTGGACAGTGTGCTGGCTACATGTTTTTCTTGAGGAGTTTGAGGGTATCCTCCAAATTCATCGCCGTAGAGTTACATTTTGATGGAACCTCAATGCTTCACAGTACCTTTGCCATACAAACACATGTGATTTCTGATGGCAGTTGGTTCAAATCCACTCGCTAGCAGGCTATCGAGATTCTCGTTTGTTTCACTGGTTGGTGAACTGGCTCATGATATCCGACATTGCAAGACCCAAGGCTTCAGACAATATCATTTATCATCATGTATGTTCATAGTCATTGTCATCATATATCCCTAGTATCACTTATCATAACAATGATGTTTTTAAATCTTTTGTTAGTGATACTTATTGCGGATACATTTCTGGTGACTATAGTATCACCACATAGTGTTGTTACCCTCTGGTTATGACTAACATAGCCATGGTATAAATGGCCCATTTATCTACAGATTTATAGTTGATTTATGTAGATTTACCTATTAATCATGGTGATTTTTCCTAGCTATGTTACCCTCTGGTAATTTAACAGTTCGCTATTGAAAATTGCCCAGTCGAACTAGTGGATTTACCCATCAAACATGCTGGTTTTCCAGTTCGCTATGTAAACGTTTACCAGGCCGGGTAGTCATAACCAGAGTGAAACCAACTGGTCGCCCCTTTCGGCTCCTTGACATGGTGTTCTCCCAAGGATCCAAGGCCACGGATGAAAAATCGAGCCCTTGGCGGATCCCATGGAAGCTCCGCGGATCCCAGAAGTTGAGGCTGAAAAATGGCGCGAAACATGGGATTTCATGGGGTTTAATGGAGGTTAATGGGGTTTAATGGGGTTTAATGGCGTTCAATGGGATGAAAAATGGGATTTCATGGGGGTTACCATAACCATTGAATGATTTTTCATGGATTAGTGGGATTTAATGAAGATACATCACCAGTTTAGTGGAGTTTAATAACTATTGCTGGTTTAACAGGATTTCATGGGATTTAAGGAAGATACACCCAGCAATAGTAGGGTTACATAGGATTTACCCTCTGGTAGTTTACCATAGCCATTGAACATGACCACATTGTGGAACGACCAGAGGGCAACCAAGAGACACTGGGAGTGTAACAGGGGTGTAACACCAACCATTCTATGTGCACTATCAGGGGATACAATGATAGTAGCAACAGCATTAAACAGTTTGAGAATTAACCAACAAGCACAATCATTGTACAGCAAGGATATGCCATGGAGATTTCAGCAAGTACTTCATCACTGCCTAGGCTGTTTGATGTGCAACTCCCAAACATATGATTCCAACTGTGCATCCCACTTAGGGAAGATCATCCAGTCCTATCCCAAACGTGAGTCAAACTTTATGTACGACTTAAAAGGAGGTCAAACTTGAGGCATGATCCAATAACAAATTATAAGCACTAGTTATTATTCAAAAGGGTGGACTGTTGACACATTACAAATTGGAACCTACAACCAAGATGTATCATATAATTATTCAATAATATATCACTATATCAAATATATACTAGAACCCCATTATTCTATACTATATATACCAATAAATATTAGTAATATATACCAATATTCCATATATATTAGTAATATACCAATATTTGTAATATCCTCTAGGCAAATATTCCATATATATATATATACCAATAAATATCCAGTTGATCCAATTGGTTTTGGGAGTTCCGGGATCTCCACGTTTTTCTCAATGGCTTGCCTTTTCTGAATAGTGGAAGCTGATTATCCCACTGCGTTTAGCAACGTTGAGTTGTTCTCGTTTCTTAAGTCGACCGGTTGGTGGTTTCAACCTACCAGCAAGGTTGGTAATATACTATTAATATATGGTTAATATTAATGGTTATTGTATGGTTAATGATGGTTAATAATAATCTGGTTGGTGGTTTTGGTATACCTACCCCTCTGAAAAATGATGGACTTCGTCAGTTGGGAGTATGAAATTCCCAACTGAATGGAAAGTCATAAAAGCCATGTTCCAAACCACCAAGAAGTTGTGGCTTATCTGATCTGTAAATGGAACAAACTTTGGTTACCCAAGCAGTAACTACCACGTCCATCTAATGCACTTCCCAAGTATGTTCGACCGCACCGCCCATTCTGAGCCAACCTCTACGACTGCAACAACTTTCAGTCCATGATTCACGGACCACCGACCATTCACCAAACTTTACATGGTTTAAACTGTAGGTGATTCACTGGGATCTTGGTGTCCAATCCCAAAAGCATTGCATGAAACAAGCCTGTTTTGAAGTGGCTCAAATTCAATCTCTGTGACTAAAATGTGGCCTAAAAAAGCCGATGCCATGCCTATGTAATGAAATGTAGTGAAATGTAATGAAATGTAATGCAATGTATGAAATAATTTTTTGATGTATTGATGTAATTGTGTATTGATGTAGGATGATGTATGATAATGTATGATAATGTATGGTGCTACAATTTGGTGGCATGCCTCCTGCTGCGTGGTGCAGCGGTGTGCGTTCTTCGAGCGCTGTGTGGCTGCTGTCAACGTCTATGCTGCTGCTGCTGTATGATAATGTATGAATATGTGAATTTATATATGTTTGAATGCATATATGCATGTATCTATATGTATCTACATGAACAAATGTAGGTAATCATTTAGGTATGGTATGTAGGTAGGTGGGAATGTACCGTTTTTCACACAGTTAGACACACATTCCATCGCCGAAGACTTCCCCAGAAACAAACCCAGGAATCAACGACCAAGCTGCGATGGACCCTTCGCGACCGGCTTCGCCTCAGATTTCCATGGATTCCCATGGGAAAAGTCGTCCAAAACTTGGGGGAGAACACCAAGATACCCCAAGTCAATTCCTTTTCGCTGGGAAAAACAGAAGCTTCCCTCACCAAAAAAAGGCCCCAGTGGCCTTTGGAAGAAGGGGAATGACCAGTGCATTTAGCAGTTTTACCCTAATTTTTCTGATATGTAAAGGAATATCATCTCTCAAAGTTGTGAAGAACCATGAACAACCTTGAGTGTAAAAACCGTGAAAAAAGTCAGGGGTGTACTTGGAGGATCCCAGTATGGTTGATCAAGTACCCTCTGGTAATTTAACAATTTGCTATTGAAAATGGCAATTTATAGCTGATTTACCCATTAAAAATGGTGATTTTCCATAATTAGTCATGTTAGATTACCAGAGGGAAATCACGATTGATACTGATGTGTCTACACTCAAGGCTAACCTGAAATGATCCTGGAAAGACAGTCAATCTTCATTTGACCAACGATTCCTCCGAAAACACCAAACATCAGAAATTTAAGCGACCAGTCACACATGCTTACATCACACCTCAAGGATCATCCGACAGATAGTACACATAAATATATATATATATAACCCAAGTCACAAAGGACTTTGCCTAGGCATTCCCGGACCCATGCAATCTGCATGGATCATGCAATTTACCCTCTGGTAATTTAACCTATAGCTATTGAAAATGGCCATTTATAGTGGATTTACCCATTGAAAATTGTGATTTTCCATAGTTACGTTAGTTTACCAGAGGGTATTTTCATAGATGATTGGAGAAATGACTTCCCAAACAAAAACCTGGTGAACTGGTTTCGCCTTTTTGTGGGGGGCCAGTCATGGGGGGAATTGACTATGTTCATCTCAGCAAAGGGTTTGGTCGATCCATATATATATATATATGTAAATATGTATAATATATATATATATGTCTCTCTATATATATATATTGATTTATGGAATGCGAAAGCAACATGCTTTCCCAACCGCTCAAAAATCAACCCTGTCCGCGAAAATCCCAAACTTATGAGCCTTGAAATCCCAGGTGTTTCTTCTTTTTGGATTATTTTCCCCAGTCAATCGTCATTTGCAGAACATGCAGCAATGCATGTGGGCCATAAGCATATTCCGGGACCCTGGTTTCGAAAACAAACTAGCTCTATGGTCTCATATTCAATCTCATTTGTTGTTGCTTACCCTCTGGTAATTCAACCAACCTAGCTATGGAAAATCACCTGTTTTTCCATGGGTAAATCATCATGGTTCTCATCTATAAATTCTATAGCCACATATCATATATATATAAAGATAATTATAGATATATATGAAATGAAGTAACCGGGTAGATGGAACCTTTGGCATTTTTGCTGCTTAGTTCCTCATAACTGGTTGCTTAACATTGGCAGTCTTAACTGGCGAGGTTCATGTATCCCCGCAAACAGTTACAAAAAATAAAGTAATTAATAAGGGAATAAAGTACCGATCCAAATTTCCACCGGTTTTATCATGTTTTATCACTTCTATCCTCATTTGCTGCTGGTTAGATCCATATTTTGGTGGATGTGAAACCTATCCAAACCTACCCAGTCAAATCCCATTAATATCACTATTTATCGCACACCCTCACTGTTGTTGGTTTACATCAATTTGCATCCCCTTTTAAATACCCAACCGTTGATGGTTTGTTTCCATAGATTTCTCCCAGACCCTAGAATTACTTTGGTTGATCATCAAGTTTGGGTTAATTTGTGCGCTGATGTTCACACATATTTTGGTTGATTGGACATGATTAGACTCATGAAACATCAATTGATGATTTTCGGAAAGCCTTGGCATGTCTTTCCTGGTTGTTGCATTTTTGAAGGACCATTCCATCATATTCCATCCGCAGCAGTATTTGAGACTCATGAAACACTATTTTTTTTAAATGGTTTCACTGATAGTAATTAATCACTAACAGTAATCAGTAACAGCAATCACTAATAGTAACAGCAATCACTATAAAGCACTACAAAACGCTATACAGTGATTTATTATTAGTGATTTCTACATTATTATTAGTGATTGATCACTATTAGTGTTATTATAAATGCGGTATAGTGATTTATTAATCGCTATGTAATCACTACAACCCACATTTCTTCATTGTTCTCCCATCGTTTTTTTCCCCGTTGACGCCTCCTCTCCCGGAAAGACTTCCACCGTGACGGTGCCGGCCTGGCCAGACATGGGGATGATAATCGGCAATATGGCAAGGATGTTTCTAAACAATAAACCATCCATTGTGAAGTCGCCATTAATAGTGGTTAATAGTGGTTAATAATGATAATTAAGAGTGATTAATGGTGATTAATGGTGATTAATGGTGATTATACCCTCTGGTAAACATACAAAAAACTATGGAAAGATCCACCATTTTAAAGCTGGGTAAATCCACTATTTCGACTGGGCCATTTTCAATAGCTATGATAAATTACCAGAGGGTACACCACCCATCTTTCGACGATAAAAAAAATGTTTATACTATACCGTAAAAAGGTGAATTTGGAGATGGTTTACTCTTGTTTTACTCATATTAATGGCAATATATGGCGATGATATGGTGGTACATACTAGGATACAGATGGCTAACCAACAACTGGATAATTTTCTCAACCCCCATGTTGGTTAAGCCGCCATGTTTGTTAAAGAAAACCATTGTGTGGTTATTCCCGCTCTTCTTCCCAATAATCCAATATATGTCAGTTGTTATATCTAACATATCCCCATTATTATTATGCCCATTAGTATCCCCATTATTAACCACATTGTTTTGTTGATTGAAAACCTGAAAGCTGTGGAACAAAATCCATGAATTTGTTGGATCAATCCCCCATTCTTGTTGGTAGTCACCATTTTTCTTCGTTGAATACCATATGAAACATATCCTGGTTCAGGTTCAGTTCTTGATGACAAAGACAAGGAAACATACTCTATATTTGCTTTTCTATACTTTTCTATACATCATTAAACATCCCCCTGTCAATAAGAAAACTTACCAGACTATCAGAAATCCGGGCGCGATAGTCATAGGCTAAGCACCGCAGACCTTCCTTTCGAAACCGATCAGGTAAACTCCCTGACTGTCCACATATCTCGATAGCATCATGGCTAGCATCATCTCGTTTTAGTACATCAGGGCGAACCTTCGGGTGGGCAAACTCCACAAGGTCTTTTAACTCCAACGTTGAAGGCCGCACTGGAGCTTTCTGCATTGCAACAGCCATCTATCGTAAACCCTTCCAGTCTGGGAGCCATCATTGTTCATCATTTGTGATCTCACCCAATCAAACCTATCTTTTTCAGATTTGTGACCAATCCTTGCAGTGTCGGTGTAACACTTGATATTTTCATGTGAACCCAGTCAAACCTGTTTTATCCAAATTGGCTCCAAGACAAATCAGAACGATTCTTGTCAGTACGAATGTTGCAGAATGCGTCTCCCCACTTTACCCTCTGGTAAACATACAAAGAACTATGGAAAGATCCACCATTTTAAAGCTGGGTAAATCCACTATTTCGACTGGGCCATTTTCAATAGCTATGATAAATTACCAGAGGGTACACCACCCATCTTTCGACGATAAAAAAATGTTTATACTATACCGTAAAAAGGTGAATTTGGAGATGGTTTACTCTTGTTTTACTCATATTAATGGCAATATATGGCGATGATATGGTGGTACATACTAGGATACAGATGGCTAACCAACAACTGGATAATTTTCTCAACCCCCATGTTGGTTAAGCCGCCATGTTTGTTAAAGAAAACCATTGTGTGGTTATTCCCGCTCTTCTTCCCAATAATCCAATATATGTCAGTTGTTATATCTAACATATCCCCATTATTATTATGCCCATTAGTATCCCCATTATTAACCACATTGTTTTGTTGATTGAAAACCTGAAAGCTGTGGAACAAAATCCATGAATTTGTTGGATCAATCCCCCATTCTTGTTGGTAGTCACCATTTTTCTTCGTTGAATACCATATGAAACATATCCTGGTTCAGGTTCAGTTCTTGATGACAAAGACAAGGAAACATACTCTATATTTGCTTTTCTATACTTTTCTATACATCATTAAACATCCCCCTGTCAATAAGAAAACTTACCAGACTATCAGAAATCCGGGCGCGATAGTCATAGGCTAAGCACCGCAGACCTTCCTTTCGAAACCGATCAGGTAAACTCCCTGACTGTCCACATATCTCGATAGCATCATGGCTAGCATCATCTCGTTTTAGTACATCAGGGCGAACCTTCGGGTGGGCAAACTCCACAAGGTCTTTTAACTCCAACGTTGAAGGCCGCACTGGAGCTTTCTGCATTGCAACAGCCATCTATCGTAAACCCTTCCAGTCTGGGAGCCATCATTGTTCAACATTTGTGATCTCACCCAATCAAACCTATCTTTTTCAGATTTGTGACCAATCCTTGCAGTGTCGGTGTAACACTTGATATTTTCATGTGAACCCAGTCAAACCTGTTTTATCCAAATTGGCTCCAAGACAAATCAGAACGATTCTTGTCAGTACGAATGTTGCAGAATGCGTCTCCCCACTTTACCCTCTGGTAAACATACAAAGAACTATGGAAAGATCCACCATTTTCAATGGGTAAATCCACTATTTCTATGGGCCATTTTCTATGTCGCAAACTGTAACAGTCATGACCAGAGGGTAGAATTCACCACCCATCACCCCTTCATCTCCGCAACGGCGCCGTCTGTTTCCGAAACGTTCACGGCGCCAGCGTTGCGGCCACGCCGCGCGCCTCCTTCTGCTGCTGCGCCGCCTTCACCTTGGCCAGGGCATCTGCGGTGGCCGCCTCGGGATGGCGAAGTTGGAGCTGATGGACAGTGTCATATATCGATATTACGATAACTATATATATATCACATTATGCGTATATATAAATATAATATATATATATACATAATAATTATATATTATGTATACATACTTAATGTTTATTGATATATTAAGATATACTATTTATGTCACTATTGAGTAAAACAACATGTCATATTTATTGTGTTATACTAAGTTAGTAAATCATCTATATACCCTTGGGTGCCACCACTGTCATATTTCCTGGACTGAGTTTCTCACCGGATACACATGGAACCGATGTTTGTAAGAGAGATGTCAACGGGCAAAGCATTCTTGGACAATCTTCGGCCTCTCATTTGACCTAATTTTCTCGTTCGACTGTTGGATTCTGTTGGTGTTCGGTTGACTTCAAGCAATTTGAACCGATTCCAGAATATGGTTTGTTGATGTTCACTGTGCTTTTGTTTGATGTTCGATGCCACACGTAGTTGTCAGTTGCTATCTTCCAAGTGATCTTCAGTTTGTGTATACAAGAGTTGATCTATTTCATGCCTGTATGCATACTATATATATATTATACTATATATATATTATACTATATATACATATCATATGATATATATATAATATTAATCATATATATTTTATATTATATTATATTATATTATATTATATATATTATTATATATATATTATATAATATTATATATAAGATTATATTATGTTATATTATATTATTTTATATTATATATATATCATATAAATATCATTGTCTACATATATATATGTATACATATTATTATTGTATATATATATATATCATTAGTTCATGGATGATGGGGAAAATACATCTATTTATAGACACTAACATATGTATACATATAGTATGTACACATTACACATAGACATGTTGACGAAGAAATCTATAAATCTAGCAACATCAACTCCTTCAAACGGACATATTTACCTATGGGTACCTGGATGGGCTTATGATGGATATATATACATATATATATATATATTAGTATGGTCTTGTATTCTATACATATAGATAGATGGGTTTAGAAACAACTGCTAAATTAAACTGGGCATATTTTTGTACGGATGGGGATTTGTGTTGTAATCTGTATAAACAATGTCGTGTGAAGAAGCCGACAAGACATTGAGACTTGGCCGACACACACGCACACACACTGGTGTTTTTACATGACTTAAATACCATGCCATGTGGTTGAAACCCTTTTAAAAAAGTATAACACATAAACGCCGCATATAGAGATTCAAGCGACCAAGCAACATAATTACCAAACATGGGCATACACGCAGCACAGATTGCTTGAATTCATCAGGAATCAGCCAGAAACAATTAGATTTAGCCGACACATGACACGTGCAACATCTATTTTGCCCAACAAAAATGACGATCAAAGTAGTTAACTATTTGTTCAAAGCAAGCAATTCACCAACCAGTCACCAGTCGGTCTACCCATTTAATATTTGCAAGTTATATTGCCATTTTCGTTGGGTCTATCACGTTGAGTACACCGAACCGCTCCCTTCACCGCGAACCGCTCCGTTCACCACTGGATAGAACAAACATACATGATCTCACCATGATATCCTCAAACAGTTCAACATCATTGAACATAGTTGATAAATTTCATAACTATTCATAACTATGGCCAAATTGTGATTTTTATGCCTTTTGGAATGCTTAAGAATGGTTTATTTTCCTATTAATGCCTAATAACTATTACTAACGATCAATGCTTAAGAACTATTAATGCCTCTTAATGCCTCTTAATGCCTATGAATTGATGGCATCCCAGGTCGGTCTCCGAATTCTCCGAGGTCCGGGCCGCCGCCGCGGCGGCAGCAACCTCGCCCGGGTCCTTTTCAAAGAAAAACAACGGGAAAGCGAAGATCAACCATCCCATGAAGCATTAGATGGGGGTAATTTAAGCAACCGGTTGGTGGTTTCAACCTACCAGCAAGGTTGGTAATATACTATTGATATATGGTTAATATTAATGGTTAATGATGGTTTTCATAATAATCTGGTTGGTGGTTGATTTCAACCCCTCTGGAAAATGATGGACAACTCGTCAGTTGGGAGTATGAAATTCCCCATATATGGAAAGTCATAAAAGCCATGTTCCAAACCACCCACCAGAAATGGATGATTTCCCATATCAATATGGATTTGGGATGAGAAATATGGATTATATAATATGATATATCAATATATATTCATATATTAGTGGTAATAATCCATATTTCTTTGATATGCTGCCCACTCCTCTCAAAGAAACCCAGCTGCCCTCTATGACAGGAACACCATTTATTTTAAGGAAAGGCTTCACTCACCACAAGGAGAATTGTACATTCCCAAAGGTCTCCCCCACACCAGAAAGAATAAACATACAAACATTTTGGATGACTTGTTTTGGGTTGGGTTGAAGGGGAGGGGTACCAAGAAAAACACACCAAAAACCCACTCGAAAAAAACAAAGTTTTGGGAGACTCTCCAATGCATTTTTTTTTTTAATTTTTTTTGTAGTTACATACCTTTTTGACATAGGAACATGGCAATGTTAGATAGGCAATCATCTATAAATGGGCTCAAATAAACTATGTTAAAGTAGCGTAGCTTAAGCGGAATCATCACAAACATGATCTAATTCTAGCTTGAAGATTACTGTGAATTACCATAAATGTCTTCTCCCGATCATTTGTTTCATATCCACCAGACGAAACCCTGGTTAAGTACTGGGGGACGGGATTAGGACTAAAAAATCTAAGGATTGTCACACCGCAACATCATGAATATAAATGTATATGTATACTGTATACATACAAATATATATATATATACATATATATATATATTATTATATTAAATTAGTCTATATCATATCATATTATATTATGTTACATTATATTATATTATGCTATTATATATTAGATATTACATTATATTATATATTATATATTCATATTACATTATATATCATTTTTGTAACAATATATATATATTGGTACTAGTTAACATTTCAGCCCCGATGGGACCTGAAGATTCTCGGATAGACTGGTAGTTTCTAGACATTTCTAGACGCGTCTCATTCCATTTGCAGCTATCCCTATCTTAAGACACGGAGCTATCAAATGTGGATACGATTTCGCCCCATCCTATCCGAAAAATCTAAAAAACTAATGTGGTAAACCCCGGTGAACCCAATAATAATAAACCATCCCATTTAAAAAAAACATTAGGTGCTATTTTTACACCCCAAATCGGCGTATACCATGGTCAAATTTCATCAACCTCAAACTTGTGGATGCTTTGAATTCATGCGGTTAAAACAAAAATAGTCAATGTCATAAACTACCCATGACTGGGAATGGTAAGTTTATACCACCTACCCTCTGGTAAACGTTTACATAACTATGGAAAATCACCATTTTTAATGGGTAAATCCACTATAAATGGGCCATGTTCAATAGCTATGTAGCAAATTACCAGAGGGTATCCCATTAATTAACTATTACTGTTAGTCTCAATATCCCATTGTTAATAATCCCTTTAATAATCCCATTGTACAAAAATGGTGACTGGGGGATGGTGCGACTGGCAACCTGTTCCCCACAGCGACCTGTGCGGGGATGCGACCCATGGCGCTGGACAATTCCCGACTCGAGCCGTGGCTGGGGCGATTTGTGGTGGGCAATGAGGGTAAAACAATGCCATGTTTACCACCTATGACTGGGTCTATAAGTTTATCTGGTTGGTGGTATACCTACCCCTCTGAAAAATATGAAAGTCAGTTGGGATCATTATTCCCAATATATGGAAAAATAAAAAATGTTCCAAACCACCAACCAGTTGTACAACCTATGGTGATTTGGGGGGTGGTTTGTTTTACCCACATTACCTCAACATATCCCAAAATTCTTTGGTTGATCATCATTTCCCGATTCCATGGCGGGAGGAACACGATGGACTCACTATGTCCGAACTCGAATTCCAGGAAACAACATTGCCCCTTTGGGACCCAAAGTCAACCCATCATACGCCATGATAAGCCATCAAAGCAGCACACACCATCATCAACTAGCATCAACCATGATGATCCAACATGAACCATCAAAGCAACAGAAAATCACCGAGGCTCTCACCTAGGAAATCACCCACGGTATAGGTGCCGATGATGCCGAGTCCCAATTCTCCCCAATTGGGCGTGGTTATTGGGTAAACCATATACCTCGATGACTGGGGTGATTTTGACATTTTCAAAAAAAATGACATTTTCAAAATAGCCCAAATGACATTTGTCTACATGGTTGGTTAATTGGATGGTTTATTGCTTATATTACCTTGGGCTTCCCACATGCAGTTCAGAGGGCGGGCCACTGGGCGACCCACGTGCTGATTTCATCCTCGTCTTGACGAGACTGTGGATGAAATCATATGAAACTGCCAAGTTTGCCATAAGTTTTCCCATAGGATCCATGGTGCTGGTATGTATGCTAACATTTGGGGTATATTGATGGTAAATGTTACCATGGATCCTATGGGTTTGGTTGATTCAAACCCCACATTCTTCCGGGAAAAGTGTGTCAACATTCACTTCACGGTCCACCTTTTGCTGGGCACTGGCTGAGCATTTTGCTGTGCGGGTCGGCATTTTTGGCCAGACCAGACCGGCCAAGACTTGGCGACTTCTGCGGAGATTCCACACGACCAGACCGGACCGCGACACGTGACCAAGGATCGGTCAGGATGGGGTGCTGAGTCATGATGGATGGGAATGAAGGTGAACCCTGATCTTGGTCCATGTGACCCATCCGAAACCTGGCATTGAAACCTTTAGTTTCCAAAAACATAAGGATTTTGCTGAACATATTCTCCAATGATGGGTCAAGTGAATGGAACCAGTCACGTCGTACCTGTCGTGGGTTTCAACCTGTAAGGAGAACACGGACATTGTTTCAAGGTCAATGGTTGGTGCAATTGGCAATGGTGGTATATGGATATGGTTCAAACATGTTCAAATACTTTCCGCAATTGCATCAATATCATCAATTTGCAAGATTTTGCCAGGGTGAAACTTCCCAAATATCCTAAATGCAATCAAGATGCAACTTCCATATGAAATATGCCTTGGAGTGTCATTGAATCCCATTCAAACATTCCGAGCAAGCGCCTGTGAATGGCGATGTTTTGCAGCCAGGAAAACCAAAGATAAACAATCTGGGGGCTTCCATAAATGGTGAAATCATAGCTGGATGGTTTATCGTATTTTAGAATAGAACATCCTTTTTTCACATGGATCATTTTTTGGGGTACTTTTATTTTAGGAAACCTCCATAAACACATATGGCTTTGTCTGAACTAGCCGGCTAGCCCTGGCTAGTTGTAGTCACTAGTCCTTGTTTTCCCCATTTCGTGGCCATGTTATGACACACCCACCCTGCCCTTCCGTGTGCGGTCAGAGTGCAAATCTCAGCTGGGGGAATTGGGACTGAACTTCATTGCATGGAAGTTTCTCTATAACATCTTTGTACATGTTTGATTTTTTGAAGTCTAACACATGACAAAAAGAAGGATTGAACATCATAATCTAAAATCATGCTGACTTTATTATCTTTATTTCTTTTTAGGTTTCTTTACAGTATCCACAAAGAGGTATCCTGATTCTTCAGCATGAGATATATATAGTATGATCTACAGTACAGTACTGTCTCATGTAGAACAATTTCGGTGTTTTGTGATAAACGTTGGACACTTATTCCACCAGCATGCTCCCAAGACCGATGACACCATGGCAAGAGACTCCCTGGCGAACACCAAAATATGTTGGACATGGATGTTCCTCAACATATGGGGGTTTCCAATTTATGGGGAATCAGAGCCGGATGGTTTATTTTAATGTTTTTTTTTAATGTTTATTAATGTAAACTCCATCTATAGATGATGGTACTCGGGGTACCCGCATGACTCAGGAAACCTATCTGGTTACGTCATTTTGGGATGGTTTCCTGCCAGTTCCCGGCCATTCCAGTGACGTCGCAGAAGGTTGGTTTGCTTCTTTTAGTCCAGATATGTGTATTAACCATTCTATGATCATCTAGATATGTAACATTCTATTATAATATATTGCAATCTACAATCTAATTCGATCTAGATAATTCGACATTTAAATTCATTGTTGTAACAATGACATTCACCATGTAGATTCACAACTCAATGGAACATTTTGATAAGCGACAAACTGCTAGAAACACCTTTTCGAAGAGCCCCGTCCTGAATGGAAGCTAAGCCACCTTTTCGAAGATCATGACAGCTCATGTATACTGTCTGTAGCCCTCATCTTGTACTGCTCTGTGGTCCCAACACAACCGTAACGCTACGCTTGGATGACGCACTCTCAGACGTCGATGTAGGCAAAAGAATCCAACGAATCCATCCTTGGAGATGGACATGATCCCTGATCTCGTGACTAACGGTGACGACCACCGTGATTGATGGGCTTATATGATGATATGGTATTTATATGGTATTTATATGGTATTTATATGGTATTTATATGGTATTTATATGATATTTATATGGTATTTATATGGTATTTATATGGTATTTATATGGTATTTATATGATATTTATATGGTATTTATATGGTATTTATATGATGATAGCCATATCATGCCATATGAGTTTTCTTAAAAGGCGATGATATTTTCTTCACTACCAACTACATTGCTGAGGCAACGATAAGGCCACCACCGTGTGAACAAAAACTTACTCCATCTCTAGCAGACTGCGCTTCACAACACCATTTGGGTTTCGCCGGAAAAAAAAGGTACCCCAACAATATCATGGGAAAATCTTGTCATTTTTCCGAATGGCCATGAATGAATATGAATCGGGCGCCTATCGCAGCTACCTTATCGACCCGAACCAAGCCAGTGTGTTTTGTTCACCTCTACAAATAATCCTTGCTTGAAGGGATGTTGCTGCACCCCCTGCTACACTATGTTATAAACAAATGTGATAAAATGGTAATTAACCAACAAACATGGGGATTGAATGGTGATTACTCAACAGGCTCAGCAGGAATCGTTTTTTTTTTTTTAATATATAATAATGCAGATTAATTGAGTCCACTGGGCCACTGGGTCTATAATGAGATACAATGGGATATTCTGAGACATATTGCCAGACCCGCCGGTGTTAGCAAACATCTTACTAAGGTAAAACATGGAAATGTGGCTAAATATCACCAGCGTTTATGGCGATAAAACATGGGGATTTTATAACATGGTAATCCAAGATGGCTCGGAAATTCCTGAACTAAATGGGCATAAGTGGTGGATTTTCCAGCATGCCATGTTCGATTACCAGAGGTGCAAATGATTTGTATACACTGCCACGATGGGATTAGATTGATTAGATGTCTTGCAAAAGTTTGTGCAGGATGCACGTCACTCAAATGACCATTGATTCTTTCTAAGCGGCGGGCACATTACTATGATAAGCAACCTGAAAATAAACATAAGAATAACGCCCGTAGTAATAAAAATAATATGTAATACCATGTAATGATTAATAGTAATTAACAATAATGATCAATTAATGTGTTATGATAAAGAACATATCTATAATATTGCTGAGTATCAAAATATATATATATATAATATAATGATTCAATATGATACGATCACTTCCCACTTCCACTGCTCCTGTTCTCGTTTGCCAGGAATCGGTCCCGGGGCCATGGTTCTTCGTGGATACAGCCAAAGGAACCTTGGCTTAAGGGAACATCATGGAACATCTTAACCGGAAACCCATGGGTTCTCACCATCAAATTTGATGGGATTTCCGGTTAAAATTTTCCCATCCTCCAGTTCTATGACTATGGCAATCTTGAGAGAAAATCATCATCAACCAAGAGATTATCGATCTGTTGGGGCATCAAAAAGAGGTATCTGTTGGTGTATCTGTTGAGTTTTTTGAATGGTTACTTCAGAAACCAAGATGGAAGGTTCGCCGACAAGGATGGGATTTCATATGATATCTACCAGAGAATAATGGTCCCCTAGATATCCTAGCGATACTTTAGGTCGGTGAATTCTATGGTAACCTGGTAGAAACGAAGAAAACTTCGATTCACCTTGCAGGAGATTCGAGATGCCACGGCCATGACCAAACTTAATAATTATGATGATATGGAGGTTTCCATAAATGGGGCTACCCCAATAGCTGGATGGTATATTTCGTGGAAAATCCAACTAACGTGGATGATTTTTGGGTACCCCCATTTTAGGAAACATCTATATGTATTGATATGTATTGACATGTGTCAAATGTCAGCACATGATCTTATGATGACTCCCCAAGAGCTGGCCCATTCCCTGGCTGGCTCATTGCATACACCACTTTCAGACACGCCCAAATAACAGATGTTGTTGGTCAGCAATATATCCCTATTATCCCCACATTCTATGCCATATATATATATATATATATATCCTGCTTGGTGGTATACCTACCCCTCTGAAACATATGAATTCGTCAGTTGGGAGTATGAAATTCCCAATATATGGAAAGTGATAAAATTCCATGGTTCCAAACCACCAACCAGTATATCCCATTTATTGATAGTTGAAGCATGTCATGTCTGTGGTCATTTCTTTGAAGA